CTCATGCATACATACAGAGAGGGATAACTTTTGTTGAATGGCAATTGTTTATGTGTGTATACACTATAAAAAATGCCTTGTATCGTACAAGACAGTTCATCCGTCGAACGTCTAGTTTAGACCCGTAGTTGACACTAAATGCGTCTTGTTTTTAGACACGTAGGTACAACTGCAGAATAATGACATCTCGCATTATTCTATGATATATATATATATGGGGGTGACCAGTCTGACAGAAGACTTCAACTTTCTTTTTTTTCATCATTTAACTTTTATAATACATCAAAATAATATGATTTTTTTACTAGTTATAGTATTCGTATAATGCTGATGATAGTTCAAGTCCAACAAGATCTATGCATTGTTTGAAATCGAAATAATCAAAGTCTTCAAAAAATGTTTTGCTATTTACGAACAGATTTTTTTGAAGTCTTTGATTATGTTTGTTTCAAACATGTTATAAACTTTTTGGGCTTGACCGATCATCAGCTTTATACAAGTACTATAACTGGTAAAAAAATCATATTATTTTGATGTATTTTAAAAGTTAAATGATAAAAAAGAAAGTTGGAGTCTCCAGTCAGACTGGTCACTCCCATATATGTACAGAACAGACAAAAAACTATTGGCATAACGCTATAGCCAGTGTTTCTCTGATAGAGAATATTTTATAAAGATTTTATAAGAAAACAATATATACAGCTATTAATTACGAGAATATTTGAACAATTGAATAGAACTCTTTAATGCACAAAAATGAGAAGAAATAAAGAGAAAAGAGAGTTCGGGTACACATGAAAGGATATTTCTGTCAATTAAAACGAAAGAAGAATTTTTTGAAAAAAATTTCTAATAATTTGTCCTGGATGAGTAAGAATTGTATATAAACTTGATGTTTTATCGACGCTTTCATCACAAATTCTTTCGAATATTTTCAATTACAACTAAAATATAAAAAAATATAAATATTGATTTAAATGTCGAAGATCTTGATAAAATAAATAGTAGAAGAATTCATGAATTAACAATGCATGAATTATCTGATAGGTACTACGATTCATTCAGACGAGTGGAGCGCATATCGGACTTTAAGAAATGATCCTAACTTTATTCATTTAACTGTTAATAATTCATTAGCCTTTGTTGATCGTGTTACTGGCGTACATACATAAAATATTGAAAATACTTGGATGAGAGTTAAGCGTAAACAAAAGAAACAAGGTGGAATGTGTAGAATACTATTTCCCACATATTTAGAAGAGTTTATTTGGCGTCAAGATTTCAGCGATCAGCCATTTAAAAATTGAATTCTTCGAATTCGTGCTATGTATCGTGTTCAATAATTTTCTTTTCAATAAAATTCTCTTGTTCTCTTATGAAATCTTTGTTGAATATTCTCTATTAGAGAAATACTGGCTATAACATTGTGCCAATAGATTCTTTTTCTGTTCTGTACATATATATATATATCACAGAACAATGTTGAGGGTGTCGTTATTCTGCAGTTGTTCCGACATGTAAATGGAATAGACAAGTACGTGTCTTGATATCTTCTTCAATATATGAGTGACCTCTTTTGTTTATCATATCAGCACGACATGTACGACTGGTTACTCCGGTTGACTAACTGTTTCTGTTTATTTGCTTTCTTTATTTTCTTTAATTTATTTTCATACGTGGAAAAAATAAATGATACTGAATACGTTACAATTATTCAGTATTTTTTTTTAAGAAAAATATTAGTTTTCGTGGTTCTCTTTGCTTGGTGAATTGTTTAGCTTGTAATATTCAGTGTGGTGATATACTTTTTTCTTTAGTGCGTAGTTTTCATAATTTTTTTTCTAGATATTTATGTTCTTTCAGGTTCAATCAGCCGATTTTTATTGATAAAATTGTAAAATAGCAAATAGGTTAGCGGCACACTTTATGCTGATTTCTTAATTTGTTTCTGTTTCTGTTTAGATTTATTTCTACTTGGTAGTATTATTTGCTGTGAATGTTTCATTTCATATTAGTTAATTGCTGGTAGTATCGTTTACATTGTATATATTTCTCTTTACATTAATTCCTAGTAGTGTTATTTGTGATATATTAAATGTACTTAAATTGAATGAGTAAGTTTAAACTAACATTTTGAAAGAGTTCATCTCAAAAAGATAGTGGTTGAGAAGCAACAAATAAAAACTATCAAAAAGAATATCTGTAAAGTAGAAAAAGATTTATCATAGAAATGTGGCAGAAAATATAGGGAACCATCCGAGAGAACTACTAGTTTCAAAGACTTCTTGTAATAAATTTCATCAAGATGGAAACAGGCTATTTTGTTTGTTTCTTGAACTTCAAATGCCTTTAACTGTTGCTGATAGCCTTTAACCATATACGGTGTACAAACAAACGCATAGTTTTTCCCATCATAAAAGATCCATCTGATCTTCCCAACAGTCAGCAATAAAAGAAAATGTTTTTTGAAAACGTTGAGAATTGAATCCTTCAAATATTTGTGTGCCAATAGGCATATTATCCCATGTGATATCTTATCTTTCTCAGTGTGCTCTTGTACAATCAATAATACGTATGTTCTTAACTGCGTTACTCTTACGTTTATCTACCCATGATGGAACCTTGTTCTCTGTCTGTCGCAATGCGCTTCCCATTTAATTGTATATGATACATATTGTTCTGATCTATGTGCTATTATTCCATTGCTCTTCTATATCTGTTCTCTCCTTGGCTTCATCATCTTTCTTATTATCGTCTCTTATTTTACTCGTGTATACAAATGAGTCCTTCATCTGTAAACGATACGATTGTACGTTAATCGTTGTTGCGTCATACGACGCTAACAGGCACATCTTCTCAATGTCATTGGACCAACAAGGTTGACATAAGAAGATGGACGTCCTTTCAACAGCAACCATCGACTAACCTTGTAATGTGGAATATTCTGTTATATCTTTCCTCTTTCCCTTCTCCCTTTTGTATTGTACCATCTATTCTCTCTCTTCCTTATTTTCTCTCCAGTATATAAGCTCGTGTTTTGTGTAAGACAGTTACATTTGGATATAGAACATAGTCGAATAAACATCGTGTCTTAAGGCACTAAAACTATGTCTCTCCATTTGGCATAACGATAGTGGAATGCACTAGTAGCTCATTAACATCAATGCCCAACCAGTGGTAGAGCTGCATCACCATTTTCGTTACAATTTGTACCTAATTGGAGTCAATACTTTTAATGTAAAGAGTGGTTTAAATGATAGATTGGGTATATTTGATATGACGAATTGTATTTGTCCATCAGAAATCGGTTGATGATCATCAAGCCGGGCATGAGAAATATCCGACGAAGTAGTACATGACAGCGACCCATCTTGACAACGATCATTGATACAAAGCCATAACTCATGTCTTCGAGCCAACATTGATAGAGGATTCTTCAGATTACGAACTTTGTTCTCCTTGAAAAACTGATGCGGATGTGGGTATGGAGATGGGTGTTTATCTTCTATCGATTCACACCCACACCCTCTTATTATCAATGGGTGTAAATGATAATTAAATCAAACCATATAAACTATTCGTCTGTTTTTATCCTACGAATTTTTCTATTATTCTTTGTTTATTATTATTCTATACCAATATATAGTGATCGAAATATCAGAAAAACGTTTTTCGTAGAGAAAAGTTTTTAAAATTTTGTCACATATTAAGATAGCAGCACTTGTGTTCTTTCTTCTTTTATGGTTCATTTGGTATGTTCAGAGATGACATTGATGAACGGAAGAAAAAAATCCTGAATACGTATTGTTCCTTTTCAGAAACTTGCCCGAACGTTATCAGAGATAATAATCAATCCGAACAGGTTTTCCTCTCTATCTGTAGAAATCCATTCTTCTGTGACTGATATTTTTACAGGCTGTACGCATATATATGATGAATTTTTAAAAAAATTCTAATTCGTATAAATATTCTTTTATTGAGTTATAAGAAAAAAATTGATAAGAAACATGTATCCAATCTGTCAAAATGATTGTAACATTTTTTATTTTGCAATACGACTTTGTCCATATAGCTTTTGTAGAGCTTTCGATGAAGTATCTTTTAAAAGAAGAATCAAGATTTAATCATTTTTCTAAGCCGAAATATATGCAATATAAGAAAGCGTTGCACTCGTTTTAGTACATGTGATAAGAACGCCATTTCTATAGAAACTTTTTTACTGTGTTTTTTTGAAATAGAGAGGCAATGGCATGAACCCTTCTAGGGTTCTATCTACACTATGAGTCCTACCTATGAGCAAAATATGATCTTGAACGGAAGTTATCAGTTTGATAGGTTCCCTCGTGAGAATATTTACACTGCATAAGAAACTAATATCTTTCATATTTATTTCAATCACAATCTGTTATAGTGGCTCATAAAACAATATTATCTCAAGGTACTAAAGAAATAAAATATGCTTTGACATCCTATGCAATTTTATTATTTATTATATTTCAGGAGAAAATGAAACAAATAATAGCACAACAACAACAACAACCAAGAAAGAATTAGAAAATATTTTAAAACGTAAGTTATTTTATTTCTTTTCAATAATAAGCATAACTTTGTTAAAGAAATCTCAATTGGCAATATTGGAGAATTAAAAAAATTTAACAAATGGCCAACAAGTACCGCATCAAAAAGTATCCAAGTCCGAACAAGATGCATATTTGAAAGATATCAATCGCCTTCGATCAATTATTAAATCAATGGGTAAATGTATGCAAAATGTGTCTGTTAATGAAATCTATGCACTTGTTCGGTGTACTCACAAAATAAGACGTCAAACATTATCAAACAACGAGAATGTCGCATTTATATTGAAGGTTTTACATCACCAAGAGCTGTTTCACGAAGAAGCAGTAAGCAATTTTTTATATTTAGTCTATAGTTCTCTTAATTAATTGAATTCATTGCTATTTTAAGTTATGTTGTAGCTTATTTTTGAATATTCGTTAATGAAAAATCAATTATGTTCATATGAAGAACTTCAAAGTGAAGCTCGAATAATACTTGATGATATTATTCGTAAATATTCAATTCGATATGAACATCAAGTGAGCATCTTTGCTCTACCAGTTGCCTATTTTTGATTCAGTTTTTCTCTATGTAGTAAAGTAAAGAACTTTTAATTTTTTTTGATTACAAGTCTTAGTTTTGTGTTGATTTAGAATGGTTTAACTGATTATCATCCAATGATGGGAATTTTGATAATGCCGTTAGGTGCTACAGATTTTGGCAAAGATTTTATGTTCGTCAGTAATCTTCCCAATAAAAATGCTTCTGTCTATTGGAATTGGTGGTCTTCATAAGATATTAGCACTTCTTGTTATCACGCACATGAATCTCACTCATTGACCTGCTCAAAAATTACTTGAAATGTTGGTGGAAAAATGTAAAAAAAAATTGAACTGTATGATAGTATAACTCTAATTATACTAAAATTTTTTCTATTTGTGCCATTTTTCTATATGCACCTGTTTATTTTGTTTTGTATTTATCTAGTCTTTGTACGATGTTTTAATTAGATCTATAACTATATAAATGAAACTAAATAAGTTATTGTTTATTAATTTCTGATACAAAATTTTGTCATTTATTTGTTTTTTAGATTATATTAATATTGTTGATATTACCTTGTTACAAGTATGTTTTAAAAGTTGAACACAAGTGAAGTTCATGAAAAAAATTTGTCTTACTGAAAATATTTTCCCTTATACTTCATGTTCATATAAAAGCATCTCTATTCTAGAATTAGTAGGATATAGATTAGCTGAAGCATTTAGAAAAGACAGATGCTAGACCCTTGTTTACATTGATGTAAATGGTCAAATCAGGAGAGATTAAGACATGTCAGTGTCTAAAATCAGTTATCCGTTGACACTTGAAGTGTCTAAATGAGACACATATCAACCAATCAGAAACAATGCCAAATGTCTTGTCTAAACGAACGAATTGTCTTGATTATACACTTCATGTGTCTTAATTTTTTTAGAATATATACCATAGATGGAAGAAACGATATAGGTTCTTGTTGATATTTGTCGTCTGAGCTAAAAACAGAAATGTAGGTTCTTACGTTTTGCACGCGCTCGTAATCCGAAGGAGAAGTATATTTTTCTTGTGTTGTGCTCATTCTGTCCGTATTACTTTTGGCTTTCTGTCTTCTGCAGATAGAAGGTTGCATTTTTGATGTGCATGTTTTTTAATTAATTATTTCGATCACAGAAAAGTGCTGTGCATAATGTTCAAAATTATCAGGTCTAGGATATTTAGAGAAAATTCTAATTTCTTCCAATCTATAACTGTATGATTCGCCTGTTGTTGAATATAGATCGTTTCAGCAAAAACGAATTATGCACATAATAACTATTAAAATTTCATTCAAATAAAAAATTTGAAAAATGATCTGACTCTAGGAGGAAACTTCAAAATGGCAAAATTATTTGTGAAATTCTTTAGTCGCTTTTATCATACGAATGTTTTCGCTTCAGTGCTGTATTGCGGACAAGGAACGAATAAGTTATAACTAACATGTGATGTGAACATTCGCATGAGCAGTATATATAGTATTTAGTAATTTAGAACTTAAAAAAAATGTCGTTTGGCTACTGTCAGTTGTCTATATTTAAGGTCGATAATCAATTGAAAAATATGAAAATGTTAATGGAAAGAAAAATAAGAACAAAACATAATTATTCGATAGCTAAAACGTGTGAAATAACAATAAGCGAATCAATTAACAAGAAATGAAATAAAAAAAGTTTCTTAAGGGTATACTATCAAAGAAGTAATGCGAGAAGAATATGAAACAAAATAATCTATCTAACATAAACTTCATCTTCTCGGTTTTTTTGGCGTGTAGGTGTGGATGTAAGTTTTGATCATCTGCTCACCAACACTAATACCCACACCGCACACCGCACACCCTCAAGTGGACTTTCAAGCTAGGGAGAAACGGCGGATTTTTGAGATTTCGAATTCCTAAAAATCCAGTAAAAATCTCCGGAGTACAATAGGAATCCTAGGAGTACCATTGGGAATCCAGAGAATCTTGTAAATATGAAATCCGCCGTTTTCTCTTAGCTTTCAAGTGGTAGATTATTTCGAGTAATGCAGACTATAAAGAGTCAATATTTTTTCTTTATATGATATTTTGTTTGCCTTTCTTTTTGAATAAATAATAGTCGGCTTAATCAGAAGTTGTAAAAACAGTATGTGCATTGCACGTGAATAGGAGGCAGATAGTAACATCTTCCTGTAAATGAAATTTGTCGAAACAAAAAAAATCAGATAGCTGTAGCCATGCTCCTCAATTTTTTGGATCTCTTCTTATATCATGATTAGTAAAAACAACTTACGAGGTGACTGGTTTTTAACTTTTATCAACAGCTTTTGCAGAGAAATCGAAAATATTCTGAGATTTCAAGGAACTGCAAAGGACTCCAAGGGATTCAAAAAAGATGGAGTCTGCTGTTTCTCCCTTGTCTGGACTACTGTTGAATTCGTATTGATATGATAATTTAAGCGAAATCATTTTGAGAATGAAGGTTTGTTTATATCTCCCTTGAATCTAGTCAGTTATTTATAAAATTCAGTAATAGAAAACAAAACAAAAGAACATTTAAGAGAAAAAGAAGTTGCAAATTGATATCTTATAATGTTTGATGTTTCTTCTCTTGCTTCAAGGACAGGTTACTACGGGATTAATCAATTGTCAAAATTCAACTCCTCGATCAGTAATAGCACGTCATTCACAAGTTCATGCTGCGATCATTATAAAACTAGTAGACTTAAAATATCAACAAATTACATTTCTTGTTTATCGCACTAGCTTCCTGCGTTCTACTTTCATCATACGCAGCTTTGACTCGAACAGCAATGATTAATCCGCCAGATTCGACTACCACATTCACAACAAATGAGTATGTTTATTTCTGTCAAATTGTCACTTGTTTCAGCAGATCGAATGTGAATGTAGATTGCCTTCCAATGGTACATCTATTGATTTCCGCTTCCTACCCTACGTAGGCAATGGTCATGTAGCCACTGTTGTTTTCAGCAATTTCATTTACATGAATGGTCTCTACAACGGTGAAAACGGTTAGTGTCTGTTTTTCATTACTCATTTAAAAATCATCACATTCTTTTGCATCAATGAAAGGAACCAGCCATCGAGCACGCATTCCTAGTACACTCAATTGGCAATTCAAAATTACTCCTGCACGTTCATTATACACGCTCAATGTCTCATCAGGTAAGATGATTACTGAGACATTCGTACCAATTGTAAATGATTTTCACACAGGTACATTTACTGAAATACTCGAAAATGACGAAATACGAATCGAACGACGCTTATTTGCCTCTCAAGAATATACAGAACTCTTACTTGCTCATGTCAAACTCATCCGATTGACACCGAAAGGTTCGACATGTGATCTTCTTTCAAATCATTTAACATGAAATCTACTTTATTCTATTCAGGAAAGATGCTCGTTGTGCCAGTTGAAGTGATCGGACAAATGGAAAGTGTTGATATCGATTTTACAGTTTTGGCTCGTAATAATCAGCATGTGTAAGTGCCGTCGAGACGAATTCATCTTGTTATCTCTTTACAAAATAGAGTTCTCTCGGGAAAAACTCGTCAAGTGGAGAACATTCAATATCAACAAGAACCATTGTCTGTCTTCATTTATTACACACCATTGCCTTATGAAGGTTTCGAACTCGATCCACAAGAAACAGATCGAACCTATCTCTTTGTCACATCCATTGATGAGCATCAAGCGAGAGCTAGACAAAGTTTCGACTATGGTAGGTTGCACGAGAAGTTGATGTACCATCATTTCGAATTGTTCAATAGCATCCAATGAACGAAAACCGGACGAGCTTTGGTCATCGCATGTCATGCTTTGGAATAATGTCTGGTCGAATGCTCACGTGGAAGTTCAAGGCGATGATGAATTGCAGCGTCAAATCAATTCTGCTTTCTATTACATTCTCAGTTCGCTTCCACCACTATCCACTCGAAGTGAACACAAACAGTTCTATGGTCTCAGTCCTGGTAGTCTCTCACGGGGTGGGTTTGATGGGCCTGATGACGAGGATTATGTTGGTCATTCATTTTGGGATACAGAAATCTGGATGTACCCACCTGTTCTTCTCTTCTATCCCACGTATGTAAAAAAATTTTAAGCATGTTAACGAACTCGAGATATATTCTAGATTGGCCAAAGAGATACTCTCGTACCGTATCGCTATGCGTGAATCAGCTGCTGATAATGCTCGTCTGTTTGGTTACGAAGGATGGAGGTATATGACAGATTGATTTCTTTTTCTAATTCTCACTTCTATTGATTAGGTTTCCGTGGGAGAGTGCTCGAACAGGTGTGGATGTGACACCGGATATTTGTCCACAAGTTCGTCTGTATCAAATGCATATCACTGGAGACATCGCGTTTGCTGCCAGACAGTATGTAGCAGCCACAGGTGATCAAAAGTGGCTGTCATCCGAACTGGGTGGAGGCTTGATCTACGAAACAGCTCGATTTTGGAGTTCGAGGGCTGTGTACAATGATGAGAAGCAGCAATACGAAATACTAAGTTCGATTCGAATATTTTGTTCAATCGTACATTTATGATCTTTCTTTAGCTGTAATGCCACCAGATGAAGATGCAGAACCGTACAAGAACAATTCGGTGTTTACCAATGCAGTTGCATCACTTTCCATTGATTTAGCTGATCGTGTCAGTTGTATCACTAAGAAAACTGTGCCTAAAGCATGGGTTGATATTGCTTCCAATCTCTATTTTCCATTTGATGAAACTAGCCAAACTCATCTAGAATATGAAGGTTTCGATTTCAGTAAGTGAATATAGAGAAATGTTTCTGTCTCAACCTTGGTGATATAGAAAATACAACTATCAAACAAGCCGATGTGGTTCTCCTCGGATTTCCTCTTCAATGGCCAATGAGTGCAGAAGTTCGACAAAATGATCTTTTGGCTTATGAACGGCTTACTCGTGCAAGTGGACCAGCAATGACATGGTCGATGCATGCGATTGGTTTTCTTGAATTGGGCAATTTCGAAAAAGCTGAAGAACTATTTCGACGTTCCTATCAAACCTATGTTCGACCACCATTTAATGTTCGTCCATTATCTTTATTTATTCTTCTCTCCAATCGATTGAATTGTATATTTGTAGGTATGGACTGAGGCTCAGAAAAACATTGGTGCAGTGAACTTTATCACAGGTGCTGGAGGTTTTTTACAAGCGGTTCTTTTTGGCTATGGTGGTATTCGTCTGAAATTGAATCATCTCGAAGTGATGCCACGAGGTCACTTGCCCAATCAAGCAACAAAACTCATCTTTCATGGCCTCAAATATTTGGGAGCTACACTGGATCTGGCTATCGATGGTAATATGTATCATCTCACTGTTCAAGAATTGAAGAATAATTATTCTCTCTTATACGAACATGGAAAAGATCAAGGTTCGCTCAAACTCAATGATAGTCTATCCTTTCTAACTGACACTCTTCTCATCATTCGTCCATCGACACCACTCTGTCGTTGATTGATTGTGGTATTTCTATTGTTTTTCAATTTACGAATGAATTAGTATCAGTAGATCTGTATTGGACGTACTGTCACTATCATCCGATAGTAATTTCGAAAATCTCAATTTGTATCAGTCTAGAAACACGTGAATGAAAATCTAATAAAACCGCAATTACTAACAGATGTGGGTATGGGGTGCGTGTCGATATGGATTTGAGTGCGGATGTTATTTTCAATATAATACCCACGCTCATCCACTCTCTATTTCCAAGATTTTTATTAAAATCCTCGTAGAATATTTTCCACCAAGAAAGAAATATATTACGATTACATTTTATTTGTTTCAACATTTTTTTAGTATTGTTTTATAGTTAGTTTTAAGTAGTTTTCATGATTTTCAACTCATTAAAGTTTTGAAGCTGCTAGTTTTATATTGACAATCGTTATTGATGTCAGGTAAACTATAAAAAGAAGGACACTTCTCAGTTGTCATCTACATTCAACGTTTTTATCATTTTGAACCAAATTTTTAAAATCGTCAGGAAGTTTTGAATAAATTTATCTGTATCGTTCAACGAATAGTGCGTCTTTTATTTTTTACAACTAAACATAATTTTAACAAACTACGGAGTGCAATGCGCAAAATTTTTTTATCTTTCAATTTTATCTCTAAATATTCTGTTAAGTTTTAAACTCTCTCTTATTACAATTCTTCCTTAATGGTTTCAAACACATTGCCATTAATAACGTCAATTTCTACGAACTAAGCTGTAATCCATGAAAAACTTTTTAAAAATATTTGCATAGATGTAATACTCAATGAGGTATATACGAGGGGGAGAAAGCGCAACTTCAGTGTCTCGAATTACAAGTGATGTATGGTGAAACACTAGTGAAAACCTAATCAGCTATTATCATTACCAGAATCTAAAATGGAATAAAGCACCACAATCGATGATTCTTCATTTTGAGAAAAACAATACCTGTGGAAGACATAATATGCCTAAATATCTTGAAAATAGAAAATGATTTTCTTCATGTATAGAGTTTTTCGAGCGTACTGCTAGCCGCAGCTCTTGTAGTTCTGATCGTTGTGCATTTTCAGCGAAAAAAGAAGTAAGTTGCACTATCAAGTAAGATCTTCTTTAGTGTTTAACGAAGATTTAGTTTTACTCATTTATTAGATGAAATCATGATACGAGGAAGCACTTCAATAAGAGTACGAGTGTGAGTGTTGATGGATGCAATGAAAAAAAAGTGTAGATTAATAAGTCCTTAAAGGGTTTATGAGAGTGCAACGTATAATAAACCCTTTTTATCGTATATCAAATTTTCATGTACCTATTCATATACCTTTTTATAAGGGCTTCTGGAAGAATTTATTAATTTCGTAAACAACTCAATATAAGGTGTGAAGATGTTCACACACACACACACCTGCAACATTTGAAATACTTTAGGAGACAGATAGCTACAGATTGTATTCAGATGTTGTTTATTATTACTACCAATTATGGTCTGTTGTATATAATAGGTGGACATGAATTCTACGAATGAGTTAGCAGTATATAGTGTATCGTTTATCATATTTCGTTGAAAGACATACATCAGCCGTCTGTCAGAGCAACTGTTTCCGTCATCGTATAAATAATGAGAATGATTTTTTACAAGCCTGTCTTTCAGATTTTCAAAATCTTATCATGAAGATAATCTATAGGTACTTTCGAGATAGTTGTATACAAATTATACATATTCACTCATCTGGCGAAGTGTATGTCTTCCTACTGGATTACTTACACATAACAAAATCTAATCATTTTTCATTAATTTACTCTAACCAGAATAAGAGGCATTCACTATCTACTTTATAAAATTAGTGATAGATTAGACAAAGTTATTTTAAAATACTGCGAAAACTATTTCTTCTTGGTGTCATGTCCAAATACCATTCAGAGTCCAAATGTCGAATGTATCAATAATAAGATTCTGATTCGTGGTCGGACCATTATTGACATAAACTGCCAAATTTTCAGCTGTGCTTTCTTCTGGATAGACACGTGTTGCGATTGCTAAACAACCGCCTTGTGGTTCAAACACTTCGATTACTGAATGATCAATGAAAATATTCAATTGCAGAAACCATTGATTGTTCAATGATTCAGACTCGAGCCAGATAGTACCACTAAGTGCAGTTCTTGATGCGCCAGGATTTTTCTGTGATAAAGTTCGATTGATGTAGACCCAGACAAGTTGTGGATGGTTTTTACCTCGCTGTTTTACACCTGAAGTACAAACTAAGTTTGCTACCAAGTGCGGTATCCCTGATTTTAAAAAACAATTATTATTTGTTTGTTTACTGCTGTCAAATGTCCATGAACGACATTTAACATCCTGATCGCAAGCATATCGACAATTTACTGAATCTATTATCCCAGGTACACTAAAATAGTCATATCCAGGTACATCCCAACTAGGCATAAAATCTGTATTGACTCTTGTCATCAACCCGATGCTTGTTCGTTGACTACCATCCGATGTTGCAAGGACACTCAATCCGAAGTCTAAATCCTACCACAAAATATTCATTATGAAATCGATTGGAGAAAGTTTGGTAAAGATATTTACCTGATCTCTTGGAAACTGCCAATTGATCATCACTTCGATTTGATTTCCACTAACATCAGGCACCAATTCGAATGGTATAACTGATGGTAAAATGATATTATGAAAGTACCGATGACTTTCTTCAATTCGTAAACTTTGCAATGCTTCTACGGGACGTGATCGAAGATGCAATCCATCGTCCGAAAGAAATATAGATCGTGGTAGAGAATGCATACCTTGCCAACCTCGTTTTTCACCTTGATCATCATCTTCAGCTATCCATCCTACGATTACTTGTTGATCATGAATTGGATCATAGAATGATTTAGATGCATAGAACTTTCCTTGATCGACTAGCTGTGTATATTCACCAAGATCTCCAGCAAGAGGGTGGAAAATTTTTTCTATAGAATCGAGTTCACCAACAGCCCAAAAGTCTTGTCCACGCAAAGATGCTTTCATTACAAGTCGATTAGAAACATTGAAAATATCTGGACATTCCCAAAAAGTATCGTAATGGTTACTATGAATTGGATGTAAGTACGTCCAATTCACAAAATCTCTTGATGTAAATAAGACTGCTTGACCACCTAATTCATCAGAACCAAATCCATAAATCAAATAGTAATTATTTTGATCATCTTGAAAGGCTGTCGATGGATCACGTCCACTCGGACTAGTGATAAGCGGATTCGATGGTTCTTTAATCCATTTAGTCAATGTCGGATCTGTAATGTTAGCTGGACGAGCTTGACATTGTACTTGTGAATTACTTTCATTGATGCCAGTATAAATAATAATAGGAACCCCGTCAACAATAGATATACTACCAGTCCAGATACCATTAATGTCGTATTTTTGGTCAGGTGCAATAGCAATTGGCAAACGTACCCAATGAACCATGTCCTTACTGTAGCAATGACCCTTTGGAGAAGAAATAATTCACACAACAATATAAGAAATGTTTAAGTCTGCTTAAGACACCTACCCAATATTTTATTCTTCCTACTGGTGAATCAGGATCATATTGAAAGAACATATGATAATAACCATTGTAGTATACAGGACCATTGGGATCGTTGAGCCAATTGCTTGGTGGCAACAAATGATATTGTGGATGAAATTGATCATCAGCTTGGCTGATGTCGAGAACAGCGATTAGAAAAGCAGAAAAGAATATTGTTTTCATGTCTTGTGTGCAAGGTTATAGTTATGCTTGCAGTCGTGTTCTTTATATATCTTTTCTCGTATCCTTATCTTGCTTGTTACTGTTGTTTGAAAGACAGATACGCAGATTCAGCTATCGAGGTCTTTAGTCACCAATGGCTTTACAAAAAATACATGTCCGAGGGTATGAGCAAATCATGTACGCAAAGATTAACGATTGTAAAATTCATATTAAGAAATGTGAAGAAATTAGCAACGAAGTATATCACTTACAGACAATATAGGCATGTGCATGAAAATCAGAGTGGATGTAGGTATGGATGTGTGGTATGGGTTTTTGTGTGTCAGTGTGAGTGTGGAATGTGGAGTGTGAGCGTCTGTGTGGAGTGCGGGTCCGAGTGCGCATGAGTGTGGGTGTGTGCAGCAGCCGCGAAAGTGGGGGGGGAGGAGTGTACACCTCCCGTTAATTGAGAATTTTGGACTTTCCAGCTATGAAAAAATATAACGTGACTTTTTAACAATTGGAGTATAGACGGTTGAAAAAAAAAATACCTTAGAAGAAAGTTTCCATACCCTATTTTGTTGCATTCTTAAGAAAATTTTCGTTTCGCGAATTAGATTAGAGCAGTAAGTTTTCGATTGAATGATTCCTTTTCATTGCAGCTTTCGATATGAAGAAACGTCTTTAAGTTCTTATTCATAGTTCAAGATAAATAATAGCTGTAAGCGTGGCCGCCTTCGGTGGCTGAATATACGAAAGAAAAAAATTTCTTCTCCCACTGCCTGTAAAGCCGACTTCTTATTTCAATAAATTACACATTCTGTAGGATTCTGTATATAATACAGCTCCAAAAACCTACTGCCTTCGGCAGCATGTTCTTCTGAAACAAATACTGAATTGATAATTCTAGGAAAGTCATTTTGTCGTCAACAAATATTGCTTTTCCGTGAGTAAAAAAAAATTGTTACTGAGTGGCACTTGAAAAAGTACTGCATGGAAAAGATGACAGCAAACAATTTTTTACCTCTCCCTACGTTTGCATCTCAAATGCCCTCGTAGTAATCAGCAGGCAATTTGTCGACGTGCACTAGTGTCAAAAATTCTTGAGACACTTACACCCCTCAATCATGGGCCCTTCGCGCGACCACTGAGTATACGTCGTATGTGACTTCAAGATTACAATAGGTGGAGTATATATATAAGGAGAAAGATTGATACGGAAAATATGCTGACTAGCATTACTAAATCAAAATGATATTTTTCTATCTAATATACGTTTTTCTAGCAGATTGAACATGAAATTGTTCAATAGAAGACTGTTAAAATGAGAGATAAGACCGTACAAAGCGCGAAAGAGATGAACAGTATCGAGAAATTCGAGTACATTAAGCAATAGCTCGTTTTCTAACGATTCTGTCTTCGGAGTATGCACTTTGTTTTTAAAATCGATGGTATATTTGTGATCAGTATGAAAATTTCTATCATAAATATAAGAAATGAAAAGGAAAATCGGAAATGAGTTTTTCAGTTTTTCTTGAGGGAGACTCAGGAGTGGAGAAGGATCGAAAACATTTTTATGTCGAATGCAAAAAGAAGTGGCGTAGTTTTTATCAGGATTTAATACTGATTCTAACCTGATGTAAAATTTTCATATCTGTTTTGAGCGTGAAAACTGGCTTCCCATCCTTGTTCTTTTGTGCTTGATTCGATAGTGAAAGAATCAAGCTTCTGTACAGATAATATGCTTTCTAAAAGTTGTGATCGGCCAAAATTTATTTTGATTGACTCAACAATCGTGCTATAGACAGACAAAAGGATTTAACTACCGTTCGTAGGTCATAGCCTTTCAGTCTACGGAACAGATTCAACGTAAGAGATTGTTTCTAAAACTTGGTATAAATCTGATAAGTTTACGCTTGTAATATTTTCGATAATGAATTTCGAAGGTTTACAACATTAATAGGTCCTGATTGTAGAATATCACTACCGAATCTGCTTCTGTCTTGCATAGCAATATGATTTGGATATGCAGCATATGCTATAAGTGCATCATTGCTTATATATGGACGCCAAAATAAATCAGCTACTTGCGGTGTTTGTGTGTTAGACCAGTTAATTAATTTTCTAGCTACCGTCGAATTACGAACAACATAGGCGGCTGCACAGTAAAATGTATGTGCTCTACAAATATTATTTGGATAAACACGCTTACACTTCATGTTACTGTGATCCAAAAAAAACATTTCCCAGTCATTTGGAAGTGAACTCAGGGCTTCTTCAAGGAGAGACGGTGCATTAACTTCCAGATCAAAATCATCTTCGAATATAAGCACAGGTCGATCATTTGCTGAGACTTCATTGATTATTTTAAAATAAACTTGCAAGTGACTCTGCCAGGTGGCTATCTGTCCATTGGTGTTAGTTATACTGAATATGTCCTGAATAAATTTGGTTCTTGAATCGAATCTATCCATTTGTTGAAGAAATTTTCCGGCATCAATAGCCGGAAATCGTGTAAACGGAAGCTTGAGATAATCAAGCAATTTCGATACATGAGCAAGTCTATCTTTTCTAATGTCACGGTTGATAACGAACACTTTGTCAATTCCTATTTCTTCCAACGTTAAAAATCTCTGTGATATATAGTTTGCATTAGACATCCTTCGATTGTGTGTCATTGTTATTTGTGTCGTAAATATATTAACACTAGAAGCGCGTTTCTTACTGGTTGCCTTGAGTCCCACAAGAACACAACAGTAAACACAACCGTAACTAAATTTGTTATCATGTACTTCAAATATTTTTTCTCCATTTACAGAAGGCGAACATCCATTTAAACCAAAAGATGATTGATTTTTCGGCCCATCTTTAAGAAAACAAAAGCCATTGACACGAGAATCCTCTGGATAAAGGTTTGTTATATTCAAATGCATGGTTCTATCACAAGACCTCGTCTCCTTATGCCAAATAAATATGAAATAAATATTAATCAAAATGCATAGAAATAACACAATGTAAAAATGATTTGAAGTCGTTTTCTGATGCTGCAATGCGTATTTGAGATATATAAATACTGAATTTGTCATTGGAGAATTATCCAATTGTTAACTTGACTCGTGTTGCCGGTCTATAATGAGAGGAAAAGTTTAATGCTCTATTCTGCGTCACTAGTGTGTAGTATCCATGTAAGGATGGATGGTGGGTATTGGTGCGGGTTTGGCGGGTGTGAGTATGGGAGAGTATAGAAGAGCGTGAGGCAGGGATATGGGTGTTGATTATCTTTTCATCAACACCTACACCACACATCCACACCTACCCGTACCCTCTATATTATTTAAATAACAAACAGAAATTAAAGAATAAAGGAAGATTTCTTTCTGTGGGAGTCAAATAGACATATAGCTAGCATACTAACAGAGTATGTTGATCAATGTTCTTTCTTATCAGTAACAACACTTCGACACGCGATGCTGTTAAATATGAGAATGATACAGGAAACGATATATGCGAAAAATCCTGCCCTATTCCTTTTTTTGCATCCATGACGGTAAAATCTTTTTGTGAGCTACCTCAAGAAAATGAAAGACAAGGTAGTCATGAAAAAAAAAATTTTCTTTTTTATTTAATGTACCTCTATCTTATGAACATCAATATTGAGGAACTCATATATATTTTCGAAGAAAATAGTGAATGGAAGTTTGAAGTCGAAGTTTCGCGGCTTCTTTCCCTCCTCCTCATTACAGACCATAGTGACCAGCCATCTTCCATTACAGGTATCAACAACAAGATTTCGACTGTTCTAAAACATTTCAAAGCTTTCTTCGCACTTTAACTGGTTCTAATATATTTCTTAGTATTTTAAATAGTGTAAAAGTTTATATTTGTGCATATAAAAATTTCTATTGAGGACATAAACTATGACAGACAATGATAAATTGATTTGCCAGTCATCAAAAGACCAACATAAAGTGTCTCAATTGATCGATCCATAACTTTCAAAAATATCCAATATCAGAGTTTGCGAGATTGTCGATATAAATGTGATAGGGTGTTGAGAAATGCTAATGTAGGTATAATGAATCTTTACAACGGGCTTATTCGTCGATTAATTCAATGTTCAAAATAATAATACCAATTTTAAAGTCAAACGAAATACGTAAGAGATCGCCTACCTTGGAAAACAGTTACACACTCTAATAAAAAAAGATTTCCCCAGAAATCGAAATCTCTTCGAAAACCCTTTCGGAAACGTATAAACGTATCCGGAGAGATTTCGAGTCAATGCTGAATTACTGGAAATACCTGATGAGTTCCAGAGCCCCCGAAACAGTTGGATTTTCGAGAATTCAGATTCGAAAATCTTCAACAGTATTCTCAGAAACCCTAACATTATTTTCGAGAGCAAAAAGTATCCTCAGAAACTATTCTTATTTTGAAAAACGTTCTCAGAAACCTTTCGGTTTTCGACTTTTTTTCTCCAAAAACCTATTTGGAATTTCGGGAATCTGAAACATTGAAAGCACATGACAAACAACCAGTGTGGTTTCCAAGCATATTTCAAGACCTTTCTGAGCTTTGCGAATTACCAGAAACCGTTGAGTTTTAGAAGAAAAAGTGTCGGAAATCCATTAAACATTGTGAAAACCTTAATAGTATTAAAATATCCTATTTCTCATTTTCACGTTCCCATCGTGTAGTGTACAGGTTTTGGACACAGGTGGACCATATTTTGCTCATGACTTAGTTCACGTAACGCTTAAGGGGCCCTCTTAGAAACCAATTTTGTATTTTTCGTCCGATTTCAACTAAAATTTCAGAGAATGTTAGTCTTGGTTACACAAGCTTATTCGCACTAATTAAGGATAGAAAAATCCGCTGGATGCTGATAATAGAAAAGGTCTTATAAAGAGAATACAATTTTAAAAGACTTACGTTTGCTCACTGTATTTTTTCGAAATCTTCTGCGCTGACGAGAAGAATAATGGTATAATGAATCGAAGTTATTCTATGCAAAAAAAATGAAAGCATTATGTTGCTTATAAAGACAAAAAAAATAAGTTTGGCTTCCCAGTTAAACAAACCACTCAGAAAAACGTGTAATAATGAGTCCAATTTTAACAAAAAAAATCGTAAAAAGCGCGCATTTTTATTGTGTTTTTCCATTAAAGCTTATCAATATGTTTTATTTTGTTAAAAACTTTAACGCGTTAAAATCCGTTACAGATTTAAACGAAAGTAAACGCATTGACAAACATTTAATGACAAAAAACCATAAAAATGTGCGCTTTTTACATTTCTTTTTTCGTTAAAATTTTAATACATTTTTATGTGTTTTGTTCGTGGTTTGTCTGCCTTAGTAGCTATCGAATTTTTCATATATCGCTTTTCTGGAGGTCCTATAGCACCATGAAATTTTGGAAAAATCAAATTTTCGAATTCTGACTTGAACTTTTTTATATATAGAGACTGTAATTAGGCAAGCTTTGATAAAAATTTCAGAAGTTTTTTGAAAAGTCTCTCCAAGATTTAGAACTTCTAGAATAAAGTTCTTTTCCATAGATAGTGTATGAAATACGTTTTCGTTTAGGAAAGCTTTATATCTGAAAGAGATTGTGATAAAAGCTTCTAAAATTTTCATCAAAGCTTGTCTAATTACGGTCTCTATGCATTAAAAAAAGTTCAGATCAAAATTCGAAAATTTGATTTTCCAAAAACTTGTGACACTACAGGACCTCCTGAAAAGAGATATATGAAAAATACGATAGCTTCGTCATATCTCAATAGAAACTCAAATGTTTTTACAGTTTTTATTAGGGTATTGTGTTGTGTCTACGGACAAAAAAGTCATGCAATTGAAAGAAGCTTCTCAAATAGTTTTTGCGTGAGTGAATGGGTAGAAGAAATATTCCAAACTAATAGACTTATTTTGCTAAAAAGAATTGTAAATGAGTTCTTAACTATTTTAATATTGTTATGACAATTTCGAAATAACTAAGAATTCATATAAACTATTTTTCTAGCTAATAAGTCTGTAGATTCAGAATATTACATCTAGTTCTCTACTCACGAGGGAACATTCCCAAGTGTCACACCGCTTTTGAGTCGAGCGTATGTGCATCATGTAGACCCTAATGATCTATGAATACTCTGTAGAAAATTCGTGCTGCTAGCTTATTACTGCCGAGATATTGTATTTTTACTGTATGCATAAGCAAAAAGCCGTGGTCCCCCTGGATAATGTGCAGTACAATATATTTTCTAAGAAAGAATTTTTTTTCAGAAAATGATTTATTTTCATATGAATGGTTTTCTAAGTGATATGTAATCACTTCTGAGCGAGAGAAACCTGTTTCCGAATACAAAATTCACATGTCTGCTTGCTATGCAAAAGTTGCTCGCTGTGCAATGTTGCTATAATGTGATAAAAGTCTCAGTGAAAGCAAATGATCTCATATCGAGTTACAACACTCTCTAAATTAGGATTTCTTTTTTCCTTCTATTGAGAGCTGAAGAAGTGTCGCTTTTTAAGAGCTTTATATATAGAGTGACACAAAAATACAATTTGCCTTAGACTTTCAGTCCATTGTAGCAAGATTGAGATTCTTTTGGGTACAAAATTTCTGATGGACATTCAAACATTTACTTTCTTTACAGTGCCCCTTAATATAAGTCACAAAATTAGAAAAATAGATATAACTTAAGAAGGAAATTTCAATAATATGATCCATTCTAGACTTTCTCTTGACCTAATAGATCTTATTCGATAGAGAAAATTATACTTCTAAAAGATTTTATTTCGTTAGACAAAATTCCTTCTTACGGTTATCAACCAATGATTTATGCCTGAAAATCAAAGTTTTTACTTATCATCTGTCTACAATTTACTTTCATGGACTTTATTCACAATTATAATCAAAGTTATATGCATTGAAATCAAAATTAAAATTCGATGTTAACAAATATTAATTTTGATTTCATAGCAGAATAATATGACTTGAAACTTTGATTATGACCATAGTGTTTTCAGATTTTAACCAATTTTAATTGAAGAAATTCTTCATTGGGGTCGAACATTCTATCTCTCAAAAAAAAGAAAGAAAGAAAATGTCTGTAGAGAATATAAACCTATTACTAGACTACGAGATTATTAAAACATTAAAAAAAGATTAGAACCAAATGTACAATACAAAGGAATAATTTATCAATAGTTTATTTATGATCTTATTCAACATAAGTCATTGTTTGATAAAGTTAAAAGATGACGAGATGATCAGGGTGTGGGTGTGGGTGCAGATAAAGAGATATAGTACACCCACACCCGCACCTTATCGTAATACAAATCTCATGATGATGTCAAGAGCTATGGAATTTAATTCTACATCTAGTGCAGCGACTTTGATAGTTCATTGTCAACTAGTTGTTTTAAGATAAATCATCCGATTTTGACTTCTTCGTCATCAACCCCACTTCGGACATACGTTGATGAAGAAGAGATATGTTGTCTGTTTTGCAGAAAAGTGAAACTAAAGTTTGCTTCTTGTAAAGGTAAAAAAAGTTTGTTTTTTTTAAATAGAAAATGTTTTGATTAACAAAAGTGAAGAGAAAAATTTATTGACAAAAAAAAGAATGTAAGGATAAAAAAAGGTTATTTATGGTTCTTTACGTTGTTGTCCGTTACAATTGATGCGCAAATTTTACGGCAGCTGTTATTGAGTTGTTCTTTAAGTGTTGCTTTTCGGTCCCGGCCGTGCTTGCAAGGTTTGATGTATGTGATGCGGTCTACGCCGGCATTGTTGCGATGAATTTGGAGGATAATGCCAAAGCAGAGTTTTCTGGATTGGTTGGTTTCTCTGGATTCGATGCGTATATGTTTGTCGGATAGACATCCCCATGTGTCGCATAAATGTGAACCTATAAATAGTTGAAGATATTTAGGACTAATTTCTATGTGAAATAAAAAGCATACCTTGAGCATCTCCACCATAGATGGACAATAATGGAAGGAACTTCATGGTTGATTTTGCAACTATGTGGTGTAAGAAGATGGAAATGGTTTTGACAGAGTTTGATTGAGAAAAATAAGTTGCTGCTTTTGATATGAATTGCCAGTAGGGATGATCGAGATTAATGCCAACCTTTGGATGATGTTGTGGAGGATTTGTAATATCTTCTGGTTTGACTGTACATTCCATCCACTCCTTAAAAAATGTTCCTAAAATAGAAAGATTATGAATCATTTTTAGATTTATAAAAGAATTTCTCACCGTCGTGTTCTGAATTGCTCTTCAAGGCCATAAGTTGCTCTGGAGTAAGTGTTTGCGGGAGATTACGATGGTTGATAAATGGTATACAATTGAATGACTGTATAATTTCTTCTTTCCAAGCTTCGGCGTCAGAAATTGATAGCGAATTAAGAAATGCCTGTGAATTGGGGATTAGTTGTTGTTGGTTGCCTGAGCAGAATCTTTTGCGCGGTAGCAATGACATGATATAATTATAGTAAATGAAAATCGTAGAAGATGAAGTGCCAACGTAAGTGAATAATATGTAGAACTAGTGGCGGAGCCAGGATTTTGAGCTGGGGGGGGGGCTCAACCCCCTCTGAGGGACCTTTGAGCTCCGGTTAGCAAATAAAATACATGGTTTCAAAATTTTTCTGGGAGGGGCTCAAAAGTTTCTGGGGGGAGGGGGGCTGAGCCCCTCCCCCCAGCTCCACCCTGGCTCCGCCACTATGTAGAACATACAAAAAGTGTTCAATTTATACAAAATTCTTCATTAATACCGTTTTCTATCAATTACTCACTCACAATTATCACCCGCTATTTATTTCAGCGATCGTAAACTATTAATTTGAACGAAGTTAATTAATAATCACTTCAAAAAACGCCGTACCGCCGCAACAACATGTTTCTCATCTTTACTGGAAAACACATTCTTCTTCTTCATCAACCCCACTACGGACATATATTGATGAAGAAGAAGTCAAAATTGGACGATTTAACCCTTTGAGGACCGAATTTTTTCGGTCGAAAAAAAAAACATTTTTCAACCTTCTTATTTTATTGTAACTCAAAATGGCTACATAAAATTGTTATGATGATCAAAAAAAACATAATCTTTTCATCTTTTAAACAAAATGGCAATTTGCAAGTAAAGCACTCGATGTTTGATCGAAAATCTACTTCCTTGATGCCAAAATAAGCATAACTTCTTCTTTTTCCTTTCATAGGCAAATGCATTTCATTGTCAAAATTAATTCTAAAACGGTATGAAATGAAATAAAGAGTACAAGTTCCAAAGAGAAATGGTATACTTTGCAAATTCAAGAACAATGTAAATTTGTCAACGAGAACGGGAGTATATATAGCCAATATAGAGTGAGAATATTCTCGAAAAACAAAAGATCAAAGGAAAAGAGAGAAATTATGACATCACTGTACCTTAGCAGGAATCACAAAGGATATTTGAAGAGAAGTTATATGAGAGAAGAAAAGAAAGAAAAGCCTGAGATGACAAATGCCATTGTTTATGATCTTAATGACCTAATATATTTAATAGTTTAATGTGAAATAAACACTTTACTGAAAAATAAGTGGTCAAAAAATGAGCCATCGGTCCTCAAAGGGTTAAATAAGCCACGAACACCACTCTCTGAACAATCAACTAAGATTTTTCCGTCAACACATAAATTTCCACGATCTCTTGCTGTGAATCATGTTATAGGACCTGAAACAACTGTTGTAGATACGACTGTATTCCATGAAGTTATTCGTTGTTTTAGCTCGGTTCTAGGTGGACCTATCTTTTCCTATTGTTCTAAATTCAACTTCTTGATTCTTGGCGGTGATTCGATATCTGCAATACAATTGATCATTGTGCTGAATACTACATTCCCTGTATCAGTAGAGTAAGAACTAAAACTAAATACATTATTGAATTACAAAACTGTAATGAAATTAACTAAATTGATTCTAACATTGAATAATTGCCCTACAAATATAGAAAAATAGCAGCAATCGAAAAATTCAGTTGTTTGGCATATGGATATTCAAGAGTCTTCTTCAGATTCTAGTATATCTATGTCCTATAAATCGTTCTACGTTCTACGTCCTACAAGAAGGTGATCTTGCTGGCCAAATTTTACCATTAGTATTGACACATCTTATAAATGATGAAATTTATTCATATCACACTCTTTCATCTCATTTATGTCCCGATCAACTAATTATGGGATTTCGATCATCAAGTTTAGACGGGATGGTACAACAACATACATCCGTCGTTGACATAGCCAAGGATTATTGAAAAATATTAATGGGTGCGAAAAGTCCTTTCATGATATACTATAATCATTATCGTTCTAATCGTTCAAGAGCTACTCATGTACCATTTTTGCTTGGTGGATTAGTTGCTTATGAAATGTTGTCTCAATTAATGAATGACTTCGTTCATTATACTGTTGTTGTATTGTTTCTATTGGATTCTTCTACACTAGAAATGATGCCCAGTCAAAATGAAGATGCACTAGATGAAGCAGATATATTAGATTATATTATCCATCATACATCAAATGATTCATCGTATAAATCTATTGCGAACGAATTACGAAAAGCATTTAATGCCATAGAAATGATTGCATTAGCTAAAACTTATTTACTATCAAAAATTCAACTACGTCTAACTACTTCTTTATTGTCTACTTGATTATCCAACAATATTGCTATACGTGCTTATCATAAAAGTATATCTATTCATATGTATCCTGATACCATTGTTCTTTTTAGTTCAGAAGAACAAGGTACACATCCGAAAACACCTCATCAATCATTATATCTAGATTGATTGCATGTTGTGAAATCTTCAACTAATTTTGTATTGATAAATGTGCCAGGAAATCATGTAACGATGATATAAGCAGATTTTATGACAGAAGTTGGAAAACATTTGAAAGACTGGTGTCAATTTGTATCTTCAAGATAAGACTTACTAGACTAAACACTTTAATAACATGTTCGTAATACTATTTTCATTGAATTATCGTTTTTCCATTTTTTATCTTTTCTAGCACCCTATCATTATTATAAACACGATTAGTTTTTTTTTCTTTAAATAAATGAATAAAAAATTCATTGAGACATTCTAAATATTATTGTTGGTCAGTTTATTATCGTTAGAAGTAGGACAATGAAGTTGATCATTACGGGCGTAGGTGTGTCAGTGAGTATGGACATATCTCTTTGCTTCATACCTATATACAAACTTCGATATGACTGGTTCGACTAAAATTGAGCGATGGAGTCAACACGTACCAACAGTCAAACAACAATGATAGTTGAGTGTAGGTAGGGATCAAATAATCACGCACAACCACTTTTACAATCACACCCATATCTTAATACATTGCTATTATGTTATAAAAATCTATAATACTTATCAATATGTATGCTTACGGATACTATAAAGTAAAGGGTTAATCAGATTCAAACACAGTATCCTAGTTCAAGACAAGGCTATACGTCCACCTAATCATATTACTTGATTTTAATCGCTTAGATTGTCACCATTAATATAAGAAGATTCTAACATTAAAGTAACAAATGAGTTTGAAATAATATCATGTATAAGAACATGTTTTAACTGCATATAGATTCAAAATGCGTAAAGTCAGTACAATCTTATGATCGTTTTACTAATCTCGAGTGAATATTTTCATCTGACGTATTTTTTTAGAAAATTTTAAAAAAATTCAATTAAATGTCTAAATGATTTATAAATTTATCAAATTGATATCCTATGATAATAATAAACAAATGTTGTGATATATTGACGTTGTTTTCTTCGACTTAAATCGTGTCAAATGATACTTCATAAATTTTCTATTAGTCCTGTATTATCTATCTATTTTTCAAATGTATATTAGTAGTATTTTTTTAAATAAAACTGTCAAAAAGATAAATCCAACTGAATAGTGTTATATAAATGTGCGGTCATCATCAGCAAACATGATGACTATTATTTGATTGAGGTAATTAGTCCAATAAGGAAATATTTATGAGAAAAAAAGTATACAGCTGTCACAAAAAATTCTTTTAAATTTTTCTGAAAAAAAATGAGATCAAAATATTTACTCAAGATTAGTAAAATGACCAAAATATTGTACTGGATTCATATCTTACGAATGATCTTTTCTTTCAGATAATAAGCTCTAATCTTCTTCTACAACTACAAATATTCCGATCAATTAGCCACGTATGTTTTGGTCATAGATATCATTGATTCACTATGAGAGGGATCGAAATTATTCAATCATGATTTAGATCAAAATATAAAGCTACATAATTTAGTCGATGGAAAGATTAGTTATCGATTGCTGCATATTTCATTAATTCCACAATATGATCAACCATGTAATTAGTTATATTCGATTTAATAATAGGTTGTAACAAACTTTGATTGAAAAAAAAACATTTATAATCAAAAATTGCTACTTTTTTCAATATGTTTTTTTATTATCTTACGAGAGTTGATTTTTTTCTAATTTTGTTCCGTTGGGTATATATAATTCAATCAACGTTGTTTTTTTTCAAGGAATGTAATCTTCACTATCTATCTACAGATAAGCCGCGTGGTCTTCATACGACTCAAAAGTTGAATCGTCATCGTCAGAAAAAATGCAAGCACAATAAACATAAGATTCCACAATTTCACTACTTCAATGGTGTTGGTTTTGTCTTTTCCTTCTTAAGGTATTGCATATGACGGTGCATGATTACTTTTGTCGTTCTGAAGCGAGTGAGTAATAGTCAGTTGGTAGTTGGGTAGTATAAAAATAGCACAGACAGGTAAAGTAAGCGCAACTTCATTTCTTTCCTTTTTCTCTTCTGTTCTGTAGACGATTAAAATAATATTTTTTCAATAAACATGCATATTTCACATTGTGAATTAGTTTTCATAAGAATCTCGAAATGATATTTCTCAATATTAATTCTGTTATTGACTGAATATTTTAACACTCATTGATCCTTTATTCGAGCTTGCAAACAGAGATCTGAAACATTGAATGGACTATTTTTATGTGCAAATCACAGCATATGTTTGAAAAATATTCGAAACTAGCAGCAATAAACTTCATTTTTCTCATATTCAGTAAACACATATACAAACTCTAGAGCGAATATTGCATCAGAATTGATGCTTTAAAATAACAAAAAAAATTTTATTGATCTATACTGAGATGCTTAGAAAGAGATTGAATTGTGCGTGTCATCATCTATATCATTGGTACATATGTAAAGACCTAGTTAGATGAAATCATGATCTTAAGATTCATACAAAAGACTATTTAAAGTGTCATATGGACGAAAACAAGCAAGAGTTTGAAAACTCTAATGATTTGAAGTCTCACAATAAGTAAAAGAAATTGAAATTATAAGAAGTATCACAACATTTGACCGTGATATCAGATTATCGTACTGACAACCAAGTCGTAAATGTGATTTGAACTAAAGCCTGTCCAAAAATTAAATGGCCGTGGGTATTTTTGGAATAACTCAAGAACGGAAAGAGTTAGAGAACTGTGGCTTTCACTAATTGAAAGAGGAGAAGTCGGGATATATTTTCTTCCGATAATGTATAAGACGAAATCCTTATAAAACTGATCATCTTCAAAAAACATACAAAATAAAGGATGAAAATGACTTGTCATCTAGATGAAATTTTGATTTTGACCTCTGATTTAGATGGAGGAACTTCAGATCTATAGTTCAAGATATAATATGCTTCCTTACATTTCATTACATTTTCACTAAGATATCAAGCTATTATCATAAAAAGTTCGAAAATCTAGTACAAATTGAGCGAAATGTCTGATTATTTGCGCATGTTAATACATGATTCCATTTGCTCAACGTTAGAATGTGATAAGAAAACTATTTGCATTGTATCTTGAACTATAATACAGATATTATCAATAATGCTAATGTTCATGATATTTATTCGAGTCATTCGATTATTTAAGAAAGATTCATACTCGTCGGAAAACTGGCATCAACAATTTCAGCTAAAATTTCTATTAATTTTTCTATCTCCAATCAAATACATCGTAGAGAACTAACAATAGATAAAGCAGATTTCACATCTGAAAATTATGGATTATTGCGTCGCTTATATGCGAAACAAAGGTTAATTGAATCAACTGCATTTTCAGAAAAAAATAAACAACGTATTTTAGAAATTGGTATGAAATATTCTATTGTGAATGATTTCACATTCATACTTGTCTTAGAAACATTACAACAACATCAACGACACGGCTTGGGATAAATCAGCCGATTTTGACTTCTTCATCAATATATGTCCGTAGTGGGGTTGATGAAGAAGAAAAGGCAATTTCGTTTACACCGAACATCCTGGAATTATCTGGATGATATAGAAAGATACACAATTTAATTGTGCATCTAGTGTAACACTTCCGATGAATTGTTCTCCACGAGGCGATTTGAAATAAATCATCCGATTTAGTCTTCTCCTATATCAACATATGTCCGTAGTGGGGTTGATGAAGATGAAAAGTGTAATTAAGAGATGATTGAAAAATCTTTTCATATGGGACGTTTGATTGAAGTGAAACGATTAGCCTAATTGAACTGATGAATGTAGTGAAGAGTGAAGTTGCATGCTCATTCATAACGATTTTCATCTGCTCAACACTCGTATTATCAACTTCACTCCAATATATCGCTTTTCGTCCTTTTGTTTATACTCTTTTCTTTGGTTATTATTTTTTTTTCTGCGTTATTCTATTTTTCTTTCATTTTCTTCTTTATTGTCTTACTTCTCAATATGGTCTTCCATTAATTCATCCCCGTATTATGATGCAAGTTCTGGCATATTTACCAAACTTGGCACAAGTTATATACGATCTTATATTGCTAAAACATGTTATCCTACTACTGCTCAATTTAATGAACTCAGCAAAGAAATTGGATGTTCCGAAGAAAAACTAAGAGTAAATATTTTTGTTTTCTGAATAAATATTGCATTATAGTTTCAATATTCTAGAAAAAATTCGAATCCATTCGCCATTATGATAAAAATATAAGAAAAGAAACATTACCCTTCATTTGCCAACCAACGTCATCAACAACTGCAAGTTTACTATCATTGTCCGATGAAGAATCCAAATTATCATTACCAGTTCAATTTCTTAATTACATCTCAAGATCAAAAGCTACCAAATTAATCAATTCAATTTTAGAAAAAGGAGATCACAAACCCCTAATAAATCCTAAACGTGTCGACGAAGAAATTAATATCCAAGAAATTATCTCCTTTACAAGTGTAACATCGAAAGATGGTAAGTGATTTTAAAAATATTTTATTTATATTTTTCATTTTCTTCTTAGGAAAATATTTTTATGATTGGATGACTTGTTCTATAGCTACCACCAACCTACAACATCCCAACAAAGCCTATCCCAGAACAATAGTACGTCCCAACTCCAGAACTTACAAATGCCTCCAGCCACAATTGAAAAACTTCTGCACCGATAACAACCTGACTTTGATTCATTTACTCCAGCACCATATTCTTCTCCGATCAAAATTACCTAAGAAACTTCCCGCACTTTCGTCAACATCAGCCAAATGTGGTAAGTGAAAAACATTAAAAAATAATTTAAACATCTCCTATCTTTGTAGCCTCCCACTTATGCGATACAAAAGGTTGTTTACGGAAAGAGCACCTGATCCTTGAAACACCCCAAACTAATTATTCAAAACAAAAAGATGTCAAGGTGTTCTTCTCACATTAAAATGTCGTGGTGCCCATAAACACATTACACAAATCGATCCTTGTGCACACGGCATTCAACATCCAGAAGCAAACGGCGATTATCTCAAGTACAGCTGCCGCAAAATTCAAGTTATTCTTGAAGACGACGCCGTCACCCAATACTACCAAACCTGCCAATAAACTTGTTTTTTTTCTTCTTTTTTATAAAATAATTACGAAATAAAAAATAATATTAAAAAAATTTGTTATTCACATAAATGCCTCCCAACAACAAAGAGGACCTGTTTCAGGATAAATCATCCGATTTTGACTTCTCCTTCATCAACATATGTCCGTAGTGGGGTTAATGAAGAAGAAGACAAACTTTTTTTTGCATCAAAAATCCTGGCAGTGTCGGGATGATATCAAAAGATACACTATTTAATTCTGGATCTAGTGCGCCGTCTCGAATGATTCCTCTTTAACTAGACAAATGGGGGTAACCCTTTAAGTACCAGCATACTTTATAAAGTACGGTTTTTTCGAGTTTCGTAATCTTTGAATAACTCGCGAATGCAAAGAGATATTGAGAAGCAGTTTTCTCTATTACATAGAGGAGACTTTGGTGCATATATCCATATAAGAGTTATAATCCTAATGAGGTCACTCAAGTAGTAAGCCTGATGGGTTTTTGGAACACCACCTCTGTTCTAAAAAACTTCTTCGCCATCCCCGTAGGGAGTACAGCCATGAGTCGAAAATGACTCTGAAACTTTTTAAAAATTTTTGATGAAAATATTCACAACACACACTGCTCATATTAAAAATAACGTCTCAAAGAAATTTCATTCATTGGCTGAGCCACGAGCCTGAAAGGATTAATCCAATCAAATAATAAATGTAATTTGTGGCAAGAGTTGTTGTATGTTTCATCGTACCATCAACTGAAGCAGAACAATCATTGGCAGATAATGAAAGAAACTCTCGATTATTTGTATATAATAATTCAATTCCTTCCACTGAGGCCTTGAAATATTTTATTAGTGCTCCGCTGTTGAAATGTGACTTAGGAGGTAAACCGATTTGTTCATTTATGAAACGTTCACCTATTGATAATCTATTAGATTGATCATAGCAATGAAATAGATTTGAGATAAGATTCCGCTGATTGATAGTTAATGTTGATTGATCTGATTGTAAAAGATTTAAAGTTGGAAACTAAATATGAATAGAGAATAAACAATTTCTGAAAATTTTCACAAAGAAGAAAAAGGGCTCATACTATGATCTGCATCTTTTTCAGACCGAGTCATAAGACTTCTCATCGCTATTTTTATGATTGCTAATGCTTTCGTCTATTCATGCTTTCACATTCTATTTTCTTAATGTTTTCATTTCGTTCTATTCAATCATCTTTTCCTATCCTTGTGCATCATCATCCATGAAAGTTTCTATTCATGAATATTTTCTTCGTGTTCAGAGGTCCTATATATATGGTCATTTCACTTGCTGTAAATAAACATCAGAATGAAAGATGAATCTTACAATTTTGATTTAGTTCTTTTTGATACACAATTCAATTATTTTTTATTTGCTGAGTCATATTTTTCTTTACAACAATGAGTAATTTGCATTGAAACAAAGTCTATTATTCTTCCAGAAACGATACTTTCAATACTACAAAACAAATATTCCTATCCGAATTCACTTTTTATTATTAAAGAAAAGGTGAAGTATGTGCTTGTTGCTTTTTTCAGTTCTTGTATTCTCAATATTTTAGAAATTGAAATATTTAAGATTTAGAGTTTATCAACATTTTTATTCGATTCATTCGAACCTATCTATTGTAAAAATCTTAGGTGTTCTTGAGAATTGAATTTGTAAACGAGTGCAAATTTTTTTTCCGGTTTTTCGACAAAAGCTCAAAACGATTGCAAGAACATAATAAATTAATTTTCAAAATTTTTCATTTAAACTGATCGTGATCATATATTTAAAACAAAACAAACAAAAATAATCTCACCTGTTCAGATTAATTTGGTCTACATACAACAGTACATGTTGTTTCTGTTGGATTAACTATTTCATTTCTTTTTTTGTTTGTTATATTCCTTTTTGAATAAGATAATCGAACCATCTCAATTTGCATTCCACTTGTGAAACATTTACGAAGTCGACAATAAGAACATATATGACGATTATGTACATTTATTTCACGATGACCACCACTATCACATTTAAATGCATTCTTAACAAAGAAAAACAAATAATGAATATAATGAAAATAAAATGATCTAATTTCAATTGGCCTGTCCTTGATGAGCATTTCGTTTGAAAAATATTTTATATGGATTACATGATATAACACTATAAAATGAATATATAGCTGGAGCTCCACAAATCTGACATTTAGTTGATATTGGTGATGATTGTCGTTTTTTAACAATGGATTTATTCGACGATGATTCTTCCATAATGAATACACGTTTTCTAATTGATTCTAATCTAGAACACGAATGAAAAATAATTAAGAAATATTTTGAACGTAACGATGATTCTTTTTCTTTATCGTCATCTGTTTATAATGTCGGTCTTACCTCCGATGAAAATTATTCATTAAACGATAGTTCTATACTTTTTTCTAAGTGCAAAAAATAAAGCATCAGAGCGACAAAATACGAGGCAAACTAGAGCAGAAAAGAAACAAAAACAGAACAAAAATAAAATAGACTTTTTCTTTCCTTCGTTGGCGAATGTCAAAATATCAAGAAATATGTATCTTATAATAGTCGGGGTGAAAAAAAACTGTCTTCTGCACAAAAGTATAGAGGACAACAATATGACCTTTTTACTCTTTTAACATATGTTAAGAAGAAGACTACTTTTTTTACTTTATCTTTTAAAAGTTAAATTGAACTGTCAATGAAATTTTTTTCGATATATTTATACTTCATGATACATTCTGTTCATCCTTGTCGATCGAAAATTGAAAAGACAAACTTTTCACATGAATATTAAACTTCTTGAACGCTCGTTGAATATTCATAATTTGGTATTATTTCATATCATTCTTGTAAAACAATTTCTCGATAGGAATAATGTCAAATAGAATATTCTTTTCTTCTATACAATCGATCATAAATTGTCAAAACTTTTTGTTTATTATGAAATTCTAGTCTACTGCAGTAACAATACATACAAAATGTTTTCTTCCTCTAATTAATCTTTACAATCATCAGCATTGATCCAATAGTCAATCATTCTTCGTGAAAATTTGTTCGATCTACAAAATGATAAAAACTTATTGAGGAAAAAAATTTAAATGTTCTCTTCATTATTTGATCGTGTAATGGTGCTCGAGAACATGCATTTAGGATATATGCTTGCCAGTGAATTTAACGCCCGATTAAAATTTTTCTATTTTACTAGTATTGCTCTTCTAGAGACAAAC